GGAAGAAATCGCTGTTCAGCAGCGTGACGGAGGCGCTGGATTTCTCTCAGGTCCGATCGAGCCGCGACGCCGAGTTATTGGAAGACGCCCGGCAGGCCACCAGATCCGGCGGCAGAATGACCCGGGAACAGGTAATGGGTCGACCCGTTTACCCGACTGGATCAACCGTTTAGATAGTATCTAGCATATTTGGAATTGGAAATAAATATTACAAAAATATAGTAAAAAAAAAAAATCTTAATATCTTAATTCATTAATAATAAATGTAGCTATAGTTTATTAATATTTAGATACTGTTAACACATGAAAATAAATAGATATAAAATCGATTAGAAGTCGCTTCTAAAAAAAAAGTACTTTTTAAAAGTTGTATTTATAATTATTTTATTACTTCTATCTTAATTTATGGTATGTATTTTTCAAATTTAAATCCCACCCCTTTATTTCAGATGTAATATATAAAAAAGAAAAAAATACTGAACGAAATTAACAAATATTATTTCACAATAAAAAATTAAAAAAATTAAATTATTTTGTAAATACTTAAAAAAACTAACAAAACAATGGTAATTGATCATGTCTAAATTGGGGGAGAGATGAGAAGTAATTAACTTAAATGTACATCAAAATTAATTGTGATTGAAGCTTTTTACTTGAGTACTAATTATAATTAAAAGTAATGTTGTTAAAACTAGTTTCACTCTAAATGAGGCTTACATTATCATTATGTATGGTCTGAAATTGAATGCAGTATGGAGCTCTTAGAAGGAAGATAGGAGGAACATACAAAGACTTTTTCAAATCTTACATAGAAGGTATGTTTCCCAATCCATAATTTTACATATTTTGATTTTTTAGGTTCATTTTAATACGTAGTTTTAAAACTTTCATTATTTTTAATTCCTGTACTGCATTGTAGTCCTATACCTTTTGTGTTTTAGTCTGGGTACTTCTAACAAGTGACTATTTTGGTTTCTATTTTCAAAATTTTGACATAAACGTCATACATAATGAAAATCCTTTCATAATTAATGACTAAATTTCAAGAAATTTTGTGCGTTAGATAAAAATGAAAATGAAAGGACCAATGATCTCTTTTAAAAAGTACAAGACCAAAACAGACATTTTGGAAGTGTATAGTACTGAAATGATCAAAAGTAACAAGTATAAAGACCAAAATGAATCAAACCGAAAGTACGAGACAAACGTAGTTTTTAAACAAAAAAAAATAAAAATAAATAAGAAGATCTAATTTTGGGTTGTTTGAATTAATTTTTTTCCCCCTTTCTCTCAGTGGATGGGCAATATGTTGAAGAAGGGTGGGTGGACAAGACATGCAAGGTTTGCAAGAAGGACACAAGGGGAGAGGCAAGACAAGTTGACAAACTTGGAACATATGTCCATGTTGCTTGTTTGGAGAATTCCAACTCTTCCTCTGGCAATTTCTTCTCCAAGTTCTTCTCCAAATGAAAATAATTGATTTACATCCCAACCCCATTATAGAAACTCGAGCTTGTGTAACATATATCTAGTTCATAAGTTTATAATTTGTAATAGTTAGTATATAGCATAAAATATCAATCATTTTCCTTCTTCTTTTTGCCGTTCCAAAACATATCTTCTCTTAGTCAAAATTTTGATGATTCCATCATATATAGGATTGAGTGGCAAAGATTTCGATATGTATCCTACATCTAAACTTATTTATTTATTTATTTTGGTTAAATATGAGGTTCTATGGAATGGAAAAGTTGGGGATGATTTTTAGAAAAGATAAAATTATAAGAAGTAATCATGTATGAAACACTTTAGTCAATTTTAGATGTTGGGTGTAGAACAAACTTTAAAGAAATGAAGAAATCACTTAATCTTGTAAGTTTTAGGTTACTATAAAAAAACTTAGGGAACAATTTTTATAGCTAATTATTTAGTTTGATTTAATTTGTAAATAAGGTGTTTTTCAAGAAAAAGGATAATACCCGTATGAAATAAAGAAGGTAAGAAATCTTTTCAACAAATACTAACAAAAGTGCGAGTTAGAGTTATTCTCATTTTGCACTCCGTACATTGAAAATATTTATTTTTATTCTTATTATTATATTTTAGGATCCTTGGTAAAATTTTGACACAAAGTTCTATACGAAATGGAAACGTTTAATACAAAACTTTAACAATATTTTAAGAAATTGATGGTTCATTGTAGTGTGGTTCATTGAGAAAATGAGATAAAAAATGGGACTAAAATAGAATCTTCTTAAAAATATAAAAATCAAAATAAATATTTTGAAATTTCATGGATCAAAATGGACAAAAACATAAATTTTGAAAACAACAAAATCAAATTTCTTGTTTCTTCTCCTAATTTCTAATATTTCATAACATAAATAAAAATCTTGTTTGATCATTTTTTACTTATAAAATGATATTAAAATAATAATAACATAATTTTTTTCGAATATTTAATTTTAAAAATATATTTTCATATAAAATTTTTACTTTTTGAATTTAATTAAATTTTAGATAAGGCAAAAAAAAAAAAAAAACAGAAATGGTTACCTTATTTTTTCAGTAAAAATAAATAAAGAACAAAATATAGTTAGCAGTGTGATTCTAAAGAGATTAAAATAAGATTTAAACTTAACTTGATATTTTTCTACCACCATGCTTATCTTTTCACTGTGGATGTTATGTTATTGTTTAATGTAATTTTCAGTTTGTTTAATGGTCTATTATTTCCAATTTTTTGAATTTTTTTTGGTATATAGTAAATGTGGTGATTTGAACTCACGATTTTTAGTCGTAAGTACGTATCAATTACTATTGAACTAAGTTTAAAAGGCCAATATTTTGAATTAAACTTTGATTATTGCAAGGACTTACCTTCCCACGTATAGTTGTAAGCCAATGGATCATTATTAAAACGAACTTGATCAATAATATATAAAAAGTAGCTTTCTTAACAAAGGATGGGCCATGGAAATTTATAAAACTTTTAATTTCATCATTTTGCATCTTAGAGTCCGGTAAGAGTTGCAATCTTAACATTTGTAATTTTTACCTTGTAGCACAATTTCATTTGAATAAATTATTAAAAAGAATAGTCTCAAGTATGTTTAATAAATTGTCCGTAAGAGATAGTTTGGGTGAGCTACTTGGGGCTTCAAGGAATATCCTTGAGGTCTTAGGTTCAAGTCACTCTACCAAATTTTTTTTCCACAGCCATGTTCCAATCTCCATCCAAGATGATTCGGTCTTATCACTCATTTTCACTTTCCGGAAAAAAAAAAAAACTAAAAAAGTTGAATATTTACACAGCGAAAGAGAAAAGAAACTCAAGTTTTGGTAAAAAGCGTGGGAAGGAAAGAAAGGGGGAGTGAGAGAGAAAAATTTATATTTGAGGGACAAAATTGCCCTAAAAATATCTATGAAAATATTGAAATTGAAAGGGCAAAATAGGGAGAAAAAGTTTCTCCCTGTAGCCCATTTTATATATACTATAAATAAGTGACTGACATGAGTTACTCCTCTCATTACCAATTGATTTTGACATAGAACCACCTCTTTCTATCGATGACTTAATCTATTGCTCATATGTCAGTGATAGACTATATACATTAATATATGCTTGATAGACTATATCAGTGATAGACTATATGAGTGATAGACGTCCTAGATGTCCTATAGACTCTATTAGATGATGAACTGATATACAAAATCAATAGTCTATTAGTGATAGAGGTAAACAAAGGTAAAAAGAAATTATGTAAAATATCTAAACAGGCTTACACAAAATATAAAATTTTTTCCATGTTTGCAAAATCATAATATTGTTGCAATAATTGCAAAGATGGGAATGTGCATTGCCACCCATTGAAATTTCCCTTTATTATATTTAAGTTATTGTTTTTTTAGTTCAACCACTGCAGGATATAAGATCAAACCATCGATTTTTAGGATCGTTGTTAAGAGGTAAGTTTGGAGTGCGAGGAATCCCCCTGTGTGAAATGTGAAACTCAACCGACTCGAAGAGAAGGTGAGCATAGCGCACCTCACTAATGCTGAACGTATCTAAAAGGGAAGGTTGAGCGCACTGTATGGACCCCTCAATGTAGTTAGAGGTACCAAGAAACTGATCACCCAGTGGAACGTTTGACATGTTGTTAAAGCGTACCTCACATACCGCCGCACCGCTCTGTAATGGCAAGAGAAGGATGCTGAATGTAGGTAGGAGGTTCCCACACTCCCTTCCTGGCCACCTTCTCTCTTTTGTCCCTCTTTCCATCTCTCCCTGATAAAGAGAAATTTCTAATAAAGAGAAATTTCTACACCAATTCTTAGGAAAATTCATCACACACTTTCAAGTAGACTTTTACTCTAATTCATGCCTCTTTACTCTACTTTGCTTCATATCCATGTGCTCCCATCTTAAGTTCTAATTGTTAATATTCCTAGGGTTTCATCTCAAAATTAATTGGCTATGAGAGGAGTAGTCCATGTCTATTATAAACCTTTACAAGGTCTATTTTCTTTTCAATGTGGATCCTTAACACTAACTAAGACATCATAGTGCATCGAGCAGAACACCATAGCAGTGCAAGATTTTTGTGTGCAGGTAAAATCTGAGTCAGGATATAACGACGTGCGTGACACTTTTGTAGCACCAACTCGAAAATTTACATCAACAATTATAGGATAGATGTTCTTATTGCTAAACTACGCTTGAATTAAAATCATCAGATTAAAAACTATAGAGACACGGTTGATTGGATGCCGATTGTTTGAAGGAAAAAAAAAGGAAAGGAAAAATGAATTATAAGCCCTTCAACAATTTATTATTAATTATTATTATTATTATTTTTTAAATTGAAGGCAAACATATATATTTGATTTATTCAGAAATCATTATCTTTTGTGAGAACAAAACCATTCAAGCCTTAGCCTTCTTAAAGCAACAAAAATATCCATTGATTTTTTAAATAGACAAGAGTAAATACTAAAACTATTCCCAAACATACCATTGCCTTGCTGAGCTATCGCTTTGGCAAAACAAAAAAAAAGAAAAAAAATTCTATTATACGAGTGATATTTCTCATCGAAATATAAAATCGTTCTAAACCAAACAACTCTACGACTTCTTCCTTCTCGAACCATTACTTTCCACGAACGAGCACAAGAATCAGGTCGTACGCTCCCGAAAAATGTTATCTAAAACAAGAAGAAACAATTTGTCCCTACCAAACCGAGGTGCCCTATTAATATTGCTAGTTGGATTTCCCTAAATGATAGATAGACCTTCCTATGATCCTCAATTGAAAGAGCTCTCTCTTCTGAGTATCTAACTGGTGAAGTTCTCTATTATGGTTGGACTGTCGCACAGTCCACGCACCTTTAACATTTACAAGCGCAATAAGTCTAAGAAGATAGGACATAGGACAATAAATAAATAAAATATCTATGGTACTTGTAAGTGAATTGTGGACATTTTTTTTTCTATATCAAAAGTTGAGTTTTGAAATAAATAAATAAATTTAAATGAGATGTACAAAGTTAGGATTGAAGCTAAAATAGGAGAGAAAAAGAGCTATAGAAGACCCAAGCTAGGAATTTTTGAAACCTCTTTCGAGTTGGATGTTTAAGGATCCTGCATTGAAAAGATAAGCGATCTAACAAGGATCTAGTCAATTGGTTATGAGATGGAACCCCATGAATATTAATATAGTATCAGAGTCCAAAATGCTCAAACGAGCACCAATAAAAAAATGAGATTCGACTAAGATTGGTGAACCAAAAGAGGTATCATTTTGAGGGTGCATGTTATGGATCCCACATTGAAAAGATAAAAAAATCTAACAAGGGTCTATAATATAAGTGGGCGACTTCTTTTATTGTCAATTGATTTTGAGATGGAACCCCATTAATATTGGAGAGGGTCGGCGTTTGGGTGTGAGCGTTCATGTGGAGTTCTAAGTAGCCATTGTGTCGCATATTGTAAATTTTTGTTAGGTCTCTTATCCTTTTAAAGTGGAATTCTTGAGGCTTGCATTTTGAGTCAGTGTCTGAAGAGCATAGTGTTTCTAAAATATCTTATTTTTTGATCCAAAAGAGATTCCTAGAGACAAAAGTTGGTGTTGAAAAAAAGATGAAGATTCTTTGCCTGCAAGAGCAGTAAGTTGGCATTTATCAAGTTGCCATATATGCATATAAATCCTTGGAGCAGCCTGCAAACTGTCAACCATAATTGATGCAATCCTAAGAAAATTTCTGTGGTCAATACACCACTTCTCTTCTTCTTTCATCAATCCTTGTAAACTCATCAATAAAAATGTATGCAAAATTGTACTGAAGTTGGCTACATGCATTAATTGTCCTACACATGTACATGTACATGTACATTTGGATAGGCTCTTATTCAATACCATTCATCATATTTGAATAGGATTCAAATAGATCTTTTTCGGTCTCGAACTCATCCTCATCGATTCATTTTTTTCCTAGCGTTTTGAAAGCTTTGAAAAAAATCTAATTAAATCCTTGGTAAGGTACGAACTATGTTTAGTCAAAAACATTATCTTGAGTGGAGATTTAAACCTCCTTGCTTGTGTGAATGCAGGAGTTCGAACACATGACCTCCGGCTCTGATACCATATTACTATTCTAAAAACCAATTGGAAATGGGAGGTGTAATCACTGTATTTATATTATAAACCTATGCAAGGTCCCTTTTCTTTTCAATGTGGAATCCTTAACA